TTCCGATTCAGAAGAAGTTAAGAAATATTTCAAGCTTGGTTTCTATTCGCTCTCGTGGTTTGCGAATCTTCGACGTAGCCATTGGTTTCAGAAACAGTGGAGAATTCTGTTGGAAAAAAAATATCGCCCCCAGATACTTTCCAACCTCAACTTCTGTACATTTTTCTGCGCTGCGCATGTGGAAAATTTTAACGGATTTTCCTACTTTCCACAAAACAGAACGAATCGAGAGCTCCTTATTACCGACTTCTTACAAGAAGTTCCTTAAAATGAATAGAATAGGGCAAAGTTATTGAGTACTTCTTGCACACTGTCAGGCTTTTCGTACTTTAAATATGTTCTCTCACTTGGCGTTAATGCAGTTTACGAGGGAAGAAAGGGGGATTTTAGTCCTTTTAAGGAGGTGAGAGGTTAGGCGACTATTTTTACTATCTTAACCGCCAACCATGTCCAATCTAGACGAATGCAGTAAAAGAATGAAACCGATCAATTAGGTCTTGTCTTGCTCGTCAGCATATCTGAACTTCCGGTGAACGCTTCGCATACCTCCTGTTTTGAAAATGTACAAGCTTTTCAGAGCGCTTGCTATCGAATAAAACGGTGAACAATGGATATACCTTGACCTTTCAGAAGCGCGGGATCGTTTACTTTAAGTAGACGCCTTAATACTGGTCGAATGACCGATCATCAGCCGTCAGGATCCTCCTTATTTCTTAGCACAACCGAAGGAACCATTGAGGATTCGAGAAGACCGATTTCGATTCCGTAATATTAATTAGCGCCCGTGGGATAACCGGATTAATAATATAAAACTGGTACTGCAGGCACACCTTGTCTTGGGGATTCCGCCCGTAGCTGGAACATCAGGGCCGAGAGTGGGGCCACCGTGAGAAACTACTATTTCTGCTGTAGCCGAATGACCCCTGGGTCAAAATTGCGAAACCCCGGCGCTGACAGGATTTTAAAATGCTCTAGCGCGGAAGTTTGATAGCTTACGCTACTTTAGGACAGAATATGGCTCCCGAGTCCCACTAATTTTCTCAATGAGACCTC